ATTTTCAGAGATACTGGGATTCACGGAAAAGTACCAGAGAGCAACGTGAGTGAAACGCACGGAGAGGAATTTATAAAAGATTCTACAAGATGAGTGACATGATAATAAGGAAACTATGAAGCATGGAGTAAAGAACTAGACAACCAAAAGTGTATCTTTTTCTCATTAATTTGCCCACACTATATACAAGCTCCTAAAGTGAGAAGATAAAAAGTAGTCCTTGTAGGTTCAGTGAAATTTCTCCCGACTTTTCATGCTATCATCTAAAGACTTAAGAGTGATACATATAATGCATTGAAAAAGTTTGTTGCGGCCTGATTTTCTGTATTTATACATTTTAAACTAAATGGCATCAGAGCTTCAACCAACACTTGTGAATTATAAAAAGTTTCCCTTCATGAACTACAAACACTTTATAGAACTTTAATATAGAACTGCCCACCTAAATAAAAAACTGTAAAAACACAATTTTATAGTTATGCATAATCTCAAAAAAACCCCAAAAAAACATCAGAGTTGAGTGTCATTTGTTGAAAGTCTCTTCATTAGTGCAACTATGAACCCAGAATCAGCAACCATGCTTGAACACACACACACAGTTATAAGGATAAAACCAAGTATATTTTAGCCCAAACTTAATCAGTTTTGATTTTGAATGCATCAGTATGTAACAGAATCAAGTAGGCACTTCTCCTTTTTTGGAATTAATGGTCGCTAAAAGTGAAGTGTAATTTCCAGTTAAACATACCTCATACATTTAGTCTATTTTCTGTCTTTGTAATTCAATTTTACCATATTGCCTTAAATTGTTTTGACAAATCAGAAACATTACCATAATTATTTGTAACACAATTTGCAAATTGTACTTGTGCCATTCAACAAGTGCCATTCCTGTAGATAAGTCATTCCACTCGACCTGAATGACACCATCCTAAACATCTGGAGTGCAATTTTCTTTTTGACAGACATGGACATTTTACTCATAATTAGAGCAAAATTAAAAAATAGTGTAACAAATACTCATGTGACCAATCTAATTTTCAGTCTCAACCTCTAAGCATGTGTGCGTCTGAGACCAGAGAGTGTGGGAACTTGGATTCTATACAGTCCCATCTGCTAAAAATTTCAGAAAAACAATCTCATTTAGAGGGATTTCAGTCAGGTTACACCCAACAAACCTAGAATCCATGAGCTTTGACAAGTTCATCGAGTCATCAGCTCTAAATGTTTGGTCAAAATAACAGAAGCCCTTAAAGGGTCACTTCACCCATTTGCATTAAGCTTTGTATCTTTAGAAACCCAGTCATATTTTTGAATGGTCATGGTTTATTCCCTTATTTTGCCCTGAGATGGGAGAAATAAGGATTTAAGTGTTTTATTTCCTGCTTATCGTGACGTAAAAATCGTCATTTTGCGTCACGATAAGCAGGAAGTCACATTTCATTGAAATGTCAACAGACTACAATGGTTAGCTCATTATTATTCAAGGGTGTGGCACCCATTCACCCACAGGCCTATTACAGATCAGTGGGTGGGACTTCACTTGCAGAAACTGAAATCAATATCCGCCATCTTGTTTGGAAGCTAAGCTAACAAGCCCTGTGGAGATATGAAGTTATGATAATGATGGAAGAAACTAAACATGATATGGAAGAAGAGGGTTTTGAAAGTCTGCTGCTCGAATCCGATGTTCGTGGCTATCTTTACGAGCTGCGGTATAGTTTAGAGCAGCTGAGGCTGATGGAGGAGCAGGAGGCGCCTGGCTGTCGGTCGAGACGCCCGGACTGGGTCGAGCTCGGCGGCCTGCTGTTGCCTGTACTCTCGCTGCGTGCTACGGCCTACGGACACAGAGTCCGTCTGCTGCAGAGAATTTCAACGATGGCAATTTCTCCTGGAGAAAATCTCTGAATCAGACGAGCACACGGACGTTTGTGTTGTGATAGTTTCGCCTTCAGAACATCCAGGTATCATACAGTAATTCACCATACAGAAATAAATACAAACGAGGAGTAATTCACTAACGTTATTGTGTTTACAAATGTAACGTGAACGGGGTTTGATGTTGTGGGAAGAAAGAGGCATGAACCGGCGAACATTTAAACATTTTAATAGTAAAATGAACAAATACAAAACGAAAGTAAGCCAGCGTTACACACAACAGAAACAAAACATAAAATCAGGCCTGTTTCTCTCTCGATCTGCCGTCGTCGCTCCCCATTTTATGCATTCGCTCCTTCTATTCGTGAGAGACGCACCGGCTCGCGCCTCACAGCTGTCTTTCATTATCACTCACGCCACCGGCAGCGCGCCGTCCTCTTACATCCCTCGCCCTCGATCGTCCTGCTCGCCACAGCCAACTAACTAGACATTTTGTTTGAAATGAATTTCAAACTCTCACTCTGGTAACAGCTAATGTTAGCGTTGTAGACGGAAGAGTGTGTTTGCATCTCTGTTTGCGCTGTTCCGGTGGGTGGGTTAGTGGGTGTGGCTTGCGGAGCTGTGCAATGTTGGGGAATTCTGGGAACTGTAGTTTTCTAACACAAAGGCGCCCCTTGGTTATTTTCTGTCTTTTCTCAGTCAAGAGGGCACCAAATTAAAAAATGATTTTACATTTCGACTACATATATGATCCACTTTCAATAAAGATTAATGTTGCAATGGGTGAAATGCTCCTTTAACAAATAGAAAATCTACATAACAGATTTGCAGTGACATCAGGAGGCCTGTGCGACGACCATCTGAGGAGGAGCCAGACTGTCCGATGACTTGTTGATGCTGGTGTGATGGAGGACTTGAAGGGAAAGAGAAGCCCGCTACAGCCATAGGGGTTGAGGAACGGCAGGTGGGCGGAGGAGCTGTGAGAGAAGAGTCGTAAGGCTGAGGGTGCCTGGTGAAGCCAAAGGTGGGAGGAGCCAAGGTGGAGCCACCAGGTCAAGACAGAGCGAGTCAATCTGAGGCAGGAGGTGGAGCCACTGAATCTACCCGCTCAGGCGCTAATGGTGGTTGCAGGACCCGAGGTTTGACGTGAGTGCTTGGCATTACAGGAGATGGCGAAAGGCTGACAACCTCCAGCAGAAGTGGGGCTGGAGGACTGGCTGAGCAGGGCAGTGACAGAGGCATAAGAAGAGGACTGGGTCAAAGGTAAGGTGTCTGTGCTGTCTAGAAACAGCGATGAAGGTTCAGAGGAAACAGGAAGAAAGCTCATACAGTCCATCAGGGATAGTGATGAAAAATCCATAATGGGGTGGGATAGGGTGGGAGACAATATTCAATCAGCCAGTCCTCAGACTCAAAATCGACCCAGATATACCCTCGGCCACTGATGTTGTGGGCTCACACTTCTGGTCAGACTCACTGAGGGACTCTTCATTCAGGGCAAAGGGTCCGCAATGACCTTTTATCTTTGGGCAGGCTGATACAGTAAATACTCACAATGCACATACCTACAGGATGTTTCAATAAATCTTTCAGGGCATCAACAACACCACTGACGAGTAGACCTTGAACAATAAGCATTTTCGAGCCAGGTTCATCACTTGTTGTGAGGAATTGCAACCCCTTTCTGAATTTGGTTGCATTGTATTTGCTGCACACATGTTTTCAAACTGATAATGATGTTCTTCATGGGCATGCGTTTTCTCCAGTTGCAGAACATTTTTTGCTATTTGCAGCACGTTTGTGTATTTGGTTGTGTTGTGAGTATGTACAGCGCGTTTCTGTATTTGGTTGTGTTGTGAGTATGTACAGCGCATTTCTGTATTTGGTTGTGTTGTGAGTATTTGCAGCGCGTTTCTGTATTTGGTTGTGTTGTGAGTATTTGCAGCACGTTTCTGTATTTGGTTGTGTTGTGAGTATGTACAGCACGTTTCTGTATTTGGTTGTGTTGTGAGTATTTGCAGCGCGTTTCTGTATTTGGTTGCGTTGTGAGTATGTGCAGCACGTTTCTGTATTTGGTTGTGTTGTGAGTATTTGCAGCGCGTTTCTGTATTTGGTTGCATTGAGTGTATTTGTAGCACGTTTCTGTTTGGTTGCAATGTGAGTATTTGCAGTATGTTTCTGTATTTGGTTGCGTTGTGAGTATTTATAGCGCATTTTTATATTCGGTTGTGTTAAGAATTTACACTGCGTTTTTGTATTTGGTTACATTTTTAATATATATTTGCATTGCTTTTCTGTTTTAGGCTGAGTTGAGTATTCACAACGCATTTCTGTATTTGGTTGTGTTGCGAGTATTTGCAGCACTTGTGTTGGCAAATTTATGAAGATGTTAATTTGCTGGTGTTTTTTTTCTTCTATTTGCTGGTTTAGTTGCAGTTCATTGAGCTCTGTAAATTACACTGTTTTCACTTGCAGTAGTTTTGCACACTGGATTCAAACATAATAGAATATTTTTTTATAAATTCATTATGAATTCTTGAAACTAAAACTAAGACTTGAAAACTGAATCTAAAAGCTTGAAACTTAAACTAAATCAGCATATATTTAAAAATGTGGCTGCAAACAAGTAAACAAAACCATACTGGCATACATCATGTAAAAAAAGTATTCAATGATGGTACATTTTAATTGAAAAGATAAGTAGTGCTTTCAGGACAAGTTTTTTTTACATAAATGTCAGGTTGGGGCAAGTTGTCATATGTTTTATATTTTGTATTTTCATATTTAAGTACAGTGGTTTCATATTTTCATTAATTGCTTTGTTTTGATAATTATTTTTTACAATAACAGGTGGGCATGCTAAATGACTGAGAAATGCAGTCAGAAAAGTTGTTTTTTACAGTTTGCATCAATTTAGGAACTGATTATCAAAAATAATAACCCTAAACTGAGAAATATTTACTGGAAAACAGTGTGACAACTAGCCATAAATGTTATTTAAAGTAATGACCCAGTGATTCTTCTTTTGGTTAATGACTGGTCATCTGTCATGCATGTTGTCAAGTGTAAGAAGAGTCATATCTTTATGAGCAAAATTATTCAACAAAAGGTGAAATACTCACAGGGAAGACGTTTGTTGTGCAGGTTCGTCCCCTTTGAGCTCATGACTCCAGAGATGCACAGCTGTGAAAACTGAGTGCTTTCCCGGTAGTTTCAGTCAGTCTGCCGTCCCAGAGCAAGACTGGACTCTGACACAGCTCATCTCCCTCTCTGTCTCTGACACTTTAGTCTGTAGATTCAGTCGTGCACTTCCTCTGCAGCAGCGCCAGTGGACGCGTATCTCTCTGCTCAGAATCAGACCTCGGGTCTGGGGCAAGTGGAATGGATCATACCAAGTCTACCCTCACGGGAGGAGGAGAGTTGCATTTACAGAAGGGATCAGGCAGAGGAAGGAGGGATTATTTAACAAGAAAGGATGTGCTAAGAAAATTAAAGCTAGGTCTTTCAAACTCTCTTTGTCTTAGAGGTCATTCCATGAAAGGAGAAAGACGTTTCTTTGAAATTCATTTTGAAGAAATCACTAAAAACAAATCGACCATTAATGTATTCATTTTATATTAAATATAAACTTACTTAAAATTAAATTAAATTTAAACTTATGTGTGTGTGTGTGTGTTTGTACGTAAACACACATTCATTACATTCATCTTTCAATGTGTATTTTTGGATAGTAACTCTAAAACTCTACTATATATATATATATATATATATATATATATATATATATATATATATATATATATATATATTGTATCAGTACATTTCAGTGCTGTTTAAAAATCATCCTGGCATACCTCATGGTTAAGAGTGTAATAGATAATAATAATAATAATAATTTGAGGAGAAATTTGGATTTGGCCAACTTCCAGCTGCAGTACAAGATATGAAGTACTACAAAGATTTCTTTTTTGTTTGTTTGTTTTTGGGATTTATTTATTTATTTTGTGGACTTAGTCTAGTTTTAAGATAGAGACAAAGCGCCATCTAGTGGCAATTAAACAAAACCAGTAAGATCAGGGTGCGTTTTTGTTTATTTATTTATTTATTTATTTACACTTCATACTGTAAAGTGTGTAAAGTGCTACTGTGCAGATTGTGACTGTGGTAGATTTACAGTTAAAACTGCCACTTGTGTAAATGTTAGACTAAAGAACACCCACATACAAACTATATATCTAAAAATATCTAAAACATTAAATGTCATCATGCAATATCTAAATTGCCAAATACAAAAAAATAAAAATAATAATAATAATAATAATAAACACCTATATTTTATTATGGATAGAATAATAATTGTTTCCTCAGTACATTCAGTCATGCACCACCGATGACAATTTTGTGCATGAGAGGCTTAGAGGATCAGAATTGAGGTTAATGTTGCTCTAATGCCACGGTTAATGTCATACTCCGCTTCAACTGTCCTCAGAAGATACACAGCCTCAAAAATGTGCAGCTGAGCTTCTGTTACGTTGCGTATGAAGTTTAGTTTGCCACAGCTGTATGAGTGTGTGGGATGTGTGGAAAACATGATTGTATCAGCATTAGTTCTCTCTAAATGTCACAAACACATCTTTACAATCCAGACTGACATTCATGCTGTGTATGTGTATGTGTTTGGAGGGGTGTGTGGTGTTAAAGAGCTCTTATATGACTCAGACAGAGAATCCTTGCGACTGTGTGTGGGCTTCACTTCAGTGTTTGTGGTCGCAGCATGTCACTAACGTTTCAAGTGCAGACAGAATAAAGCAAAAGTGCAAATGGGTTACCCTGATAATATTGCCACTTTTGACTGATGTTTGGGTTCAATTTTGGTGGAGGAGAAAACTATGTAAAAAGTAACCCAAGAAAAACATGAAATTGGAGTTTCCCATCACTCAAGAGAATTTCGTTTCAAAAGATCTGCTGAACACAAACTACAATCATATTTCAAAGCAGAAAAAGGTTACATGTGTGGTACTGCATTACTGCACCACTAGCAGATCCATTTGGTGGACACTTACTCCAATTATTTATAGTGCATTCAATATTTTTTAGAAGTACAATGGGGCTCAAGGCACACCTTAAGAAAAAAAATACTTTTCACTATTCCCATAATGCATGATTGCAGAAAAAAATATGTATGGTTGAACATTTATGGAGCAATAGATTTTGTCTGAAAATAAATCATAAAAGTGGTTTATTTTGTATAAAAATCTGATAAATGGATGCGGTGGGAAGGTGGGCCTTGTAACTGAGAGGACTGTAAGGTGCTAGCTGTTGCTACTAAGTTAAGACACCAAAGTCGGAGAAGGAATCCAGTTCAACAGATTTATTTGAACAAGCATATGCTGAGGGGGAGCCAGATCCTATCAGGTTGTATTAAACAATGCTCTCTGTGCACATTTTACTGACACTCTGTATCGTCTCGTGCTTTATGACCAAAGAAGTGAATCAGCATATGTGTGTGGTCTGTAACAAATAAACAAATAAAAATATGCTCTAACAAACAATGCTTTTCATCAGTGGCAGCTGGTGAAAAATATTATAGGTGGGGCTGTGTGTGTTTTGGGGGGGTCTGGGGGTCAAATTCCCCCATCAAATTTTGAATTTTGTAGATGTGATTTCCTGTATTCTGGTGCATTTTAGGCCTTTGCTCCTTGCCACTTAAAGGGTTAGTTCACCCAAAAATGAAAATTAAGTCATTAATTACTCACCCCCATGCTGTACCAACCCCGTAAGACCTTCGTTCGTCTTCGGAACACAAATGAAGATATTTTTGATTAAATTTGAGAGCTGTATAACTACCACATTGGCTCCTAAGGGACTGCCTCTTGACGGCCCAGAAAGTCAATGAAGAAAATGTTTAAATATCCCAAGTGACTACCGTGGCTCAACTATATGTTTATCAAGTGACGCGAATACTTTTTGTGCGGAAAAACAAACAAAAATAACGAGTTTATTCGACTATTTCTTTTCTTCCTTGTAGGCCAGAACGAGACTTCCTCATTCCATGACGCATGCGCGAGAATTGCGATCTGAAGTAGTGTAAGCAGATCGCAAATCTCGCGCATGCGTCGTGGAAATCTAAGGAAGTCTCGTTCTGGCCTACAAGGAAGAAAAGAAATAGTCGAATAAACTCGTTATTTTTGTTTGTTTTTTCGCACAAAAAGTATTCGCGTCGCTTGATAAACATACGGTAGTCACTTGGGATATTTAAACATTTTCTTCATTGACTTTTTGGGCCGTCAAGAGGCAGTCCCTTAGGAGCCAATGTGGTAGTTATACAGCTCTCAAATTTAATCAAAAATATCTTCATTTGTGTTCCGAAGACGAACGAAGGTCTTACGGGGTTGGTACAGCATGGGGGTGAGTAATTAATGACTTAATTTTCATTTTTGGGTGAACTAACCCTTTAATACCAATGGTCTAAAAATACAATGTTAATTGAACTGCCATGTAGAAAATTAAATGCATCAGTCTCGTGATCTTTGAAATTAAGAGCTTCAACTTCCATGAACTGCTTGTTAAACAAAGATAAAGCATTGATTTGTACCAGGACAATAAAGAGGGCTCAAACATCTTTTAAATGATGTCTACATTACATTACCAATGGGTGTATACTAAATAAATGAAAATGAATACTTCAAAAGTATATTTTAGTCCAGGGGTTCTCAAACATTTTGGTGCCAGGGACCCCTTTCAGGGGAAAAAAAATTCCAAGGACCCCCCTCATATTTATAACAGTTATTGAGCACAAAGTTAATGTGTGAGCGGCAAATGAAATATTTTTGCACAAAATGAATGGTCTCCACCCAGGGTACTATGCAGGAATTTCTAAATAGCCTACTGAGGTAACGAAAGTGATCTTGCTAGGAATCACTTAGGATCCCTCACTTAGGATTTTTTGATGTTCTTGATCTACACATGTGCATTTTAAGGTGTTTTAAGGCCCCACAATTGGATAACTATAGATTTAGTAGAAGCATGTCAGTCAGTGGCATACATTTTTTTTTTTTTTTTTTTGTCAAGATGTCACGAAACACAATCACATATTCCAATCAGGAATGGCTTTAAAAGAGAAATGTTTCAATGATTAGGCCTATTCTGCACACAAATAAAGGCCATAAGCCTATAAATACAATGATAATGGCATTATGTTTAATAGGTGCGTGCGTTGTTAATTTGAGCTACTGTAATTAGCTAAAAAAAACATACAGTATATGTTAAATATATGAATCCATAATGTTAATCTCATGGGCACAGTATGTTTCTATTGACCTGCTTTTTCCTTTGTTAAAGTTGAGCTTGATTAATACTTTGCAAACTGATTGTTTCAGTCGTTTTTTAAAACTTTTATCTAAAACAGCTGTTTAGTTTGTGTTAATTTAGGCCTACATCTTATCTCGCACTTTATGACCGTTGACTGAAACGTCGTGCGGGGAACTTTGAGTTCACTCCGACTCAAACATTTTGACATTGACGAGCTATCGTTGTTAGTCTGCTGAAGCACCTCAGACGAGAAGGTCAGTTATCATCGCGATGTGCATCCTTGCAACCTCAGTTGTGGGTACGGCCCTGTCACTATGCACTTTTATTTTGATAATGATCAGACTTCTAATGTCAAATCTACAGTAGCATTGCTGACTATTGTGCGCGCACGCGAGACGCCGGCGCGCAATTACATGGGAATTTTTCCTCAGCAGTGGAAACAGGAAATCTTATTTATGGTCATAGATAAGACAAGAGTGCATCATCCGAAACGGTAAAGTGTCCATTTTTTTATTTGTGTATAGGCTATTATAAATGACTACAAAATGTCATGCCTTTTAAAAATACAGAAAAGAACCGGATGCGGGTTCATGCCGTCTCTCTGTCTCCTTTCTGGCGCACGTCCCGCAAAATCAACAGCAGCGAATAGTCTACTTGACGCAAAGACATATCTATAGATATTATCTATCTATAAAAAACTTTAAGTGTCTACTTTGTATTGTTATGTTAAATGCTTTATATAAGTTACTTAGGAATAAACAGCATGTTTTCAGATGATAAAGAAAACATGACTCATAGCATGGAAAAAAACGTTAGGTTGTAAATTATTTCGCGGACCCCCTGGCTTTAGCTCGCGGACCACCAGGGGTCCGCGCGGACCCCACTTTGAGAACCACTGTTTTAGTCTACATTACACTATAATATAGGAAAATTAAAATACTTTAGTTTTTATTTCTACGCTTGCAAGAAATAAATCCTTGAGCTTTTATTTAGGACAAAACACCAGATGACCATGAAGATCGCGTGAGCAAAGTGCACACGTTTCTCTAAATACCCAGCAAAAACAGAATGCCTATTCTTAAAGTCTTGTGC